GAGGGGAGGGGCAGAGGGGGGCAGCAGAGGGCGGGGGCACATGGGCTTCGACGACGGGCCCCGACTCGGTGGCTGCAGGGCGCGGCCAGCGCACACTTCGCGATGAGGCCAGCTCGGAGGCTCGTTGCTCTTCCTCCACTTTCTCCCGAAGTTTCCCCCCTGCTTCCGCGCCAATGCTTGTGATGACCATCTTGCTGACACATGCTTTCGTCTCTCAATCTTGGTCAGCGCGTGGACGGAGCATTCACCCAAACATTCACCATGCAAGATCGGGGCATTCTGGGCGGTGTCGTCTGCAGTGCGGTCGCAGATCGCCTGTCGTTTGAACCAACAGTCGAATCTATTTGCACCCATGGGGGCGAGAAGGGGGAGGAGGAGGAGTGGGAGGCGGATGTGAAGATCAAACATGATGTCGGAATGCGGATGGATGATGGCTGACTAGGACCTGGGCAGCAGTTTTACGCGAGCGAATGGGTGGGCAGAGCTGCAAGCAAACTGCAAACAAACGCTGCAGTCTTAGGAGCTGTAGCTTTTGGGTGTTTGATTCTACCAGGGCGAGCTGTGCCCCGCACGAGTTGAAGCTGCTTGGTTTGCACTCCTTGCGTGAATCAGCAGTGCGAATCTCCACGCTGAGGCGCAGGTCGGGGGATGCCAGGGCTCCAAGGTGGTCACAGGAGGACTCCAAGACGGCTCAAGACCGCTCCAAAACGATCCAAGGCGGCCTCAAGGCGGCCCAAGAGGTCCCCAAGACGCCTCAGGAGGGCTCCAAGGTCCCTAACAGCGCCGTAGATGCTTTTCGCCCGGGTTGGTTTTCGCCCGGTGCGTTTCGCCCGGTTCGTTTCGCCCGGGTTTGCTTTCGCCCTGTTGGCTTTCGCCCGGGTTGGCTTCCGCCCGGGTTGGCTTTCGCCCGGGTTGGCTTTCGCCCGGGTTGGCTTTCGCCAGGTTGGATTTCGCCCGGGGTGGCTTTCGCCCGGGTTGGCTTTCGCCCGGTTGGCTTTCGCCTTGTTGGCTTTCGCCTGGGTTGGCTTTCGCCTGGTTGGCTTTCGCCCGGGTTGGCTTTCGCCCGGGTTGGCTTTCGCCCGGGCTCGTTTTCGCCTGGGTTCAACTTCGCCCTCCTCTTCCTCTTCTCCTCTTCCCTCTACTGTTCTTTCATGCTGCTGCTGCTGCTCCTCTTACCGAACCCGACCCGACCCAACCCGCCCCGCCCGTTAGGGTCCGCCCGACCCGACCCGACCCGCCCGTTAGGGTTCACGCGTGCTCACTCGAGCGCGCCCCACACCTCAGCGTCCCGCCTGCCCGACCCGACCCGCCCGCTAGGGTCCGCCCGACCGGACCCAGCCCGCCCGTTAGAATCCGCCCGACTCGACCCGACCCGCCCGTTAGGGTTCACGCGTGCTCACTCGTGCGCGCCCCACACTTTAGTGCCCCGCCCGCTTCACCCGACCCGCCCGTTAGGGTCCGTCCGACCCGACCCGACCCGCTTCGCCAGGGTCCGCCTGCCCCACCCGACCCGCCCGTCAGGGTTCACACGTGCTCCCTCGAGTGCGCCTCCACACTTTAGTGTCCCGCCTGCCCGACCCGACCCGCCCGTTAGGGTCCGCCCGACCCGAACCCGTCCCGCCCGTTAGGGTCCGCCCGACCCGACCCGACCGCCCGTTAGGGTTCACGCATGCTCACTCGAGCGCGCCCCACACTTTAGTGTCCCGCCCGCCCGACCCGACCCGCCCGTCAGGGTCCGCCCGACCCGAAACCCCCGTTAGGGTCCGCCCGACCCGACCCGACCCGCCCGTTAGGGTTCACGCGTGCTCACTCGAGCGCGCCTCCACACTTTAGTGTCCCGCCCGCCCGACCGACCCGCCCGTTAGGGTCCGCCGACCCGACCGACCCGCCCTGCCCGTTAGGGTCCGCTCGACCCGACCCGACCCGCCCGTCAGGGTTCACGCGTGCTCACTCGACCTCCACACTTAAGTGTCCCGCCTGCCCGACCCGACCCGCCCGTTAGGGTCCGCCCGACCCGAACCCGTCCCGCCCGTTAGGGTCCGCCTGCCCCACCCGACCCGCCCGTTAGGGTCACGCGTGCTCACTCGAGCGCGCCTCCACACTTTAGTGTCCCGCCCGCCCGACCCGACCCGCCCGCTAGGGTCCGCCCGACCCGATCCGACCCGCTTCGCCCGCCAGGGTCCGCCTGCCCCACCCGACCCGCCCGTCAGGGTTCACGCGTGCTTCCTCGAGCGCGCCTCCACCTTTCAGTGTCCCGCCTGCCCGACCGACCCGCCCGTTAGGGTCCGCCCGACCCGAACCCGTCCCGCCCGTTAGGGTCCGCCCGTCCCGACCCGACCCGCCCGTTAGGGTTCACGCGTGCTCACCGAGCGCGCCCCACACTTTAGTGTCCCGCCTGCCCGACCCGACCCGCCCGCTAGGGTCCGCCCGACCCGACCCGACCCGCTTCGCCCGCCAGGGTCCGCCTGCCCCACCCGACCCGCCCGTCAGGGTTCACGCGTGCTCCCTCGAGTGCGCCTCCACACTTTAGTGTCCCGCCTGCCCGACCCGACCTGCCCGTTAGTGTCCCGCCTCCGCCCGACCGACCCGACCCGCCCGTCCCTGCCCCGTTACTTTAGTGTCCCGCCTGCCCGACCCGACCCGCCCGTCAGGGTCCGCCCGACCCGGTCCCGCCCGTTAGGGTCCGCCCGACCCGACCCGACCCGCCCGTCAGGGTTCACGCGTGCTCACTCGGGCGCGCCTCCATACTTTAGTGTCCCGCCTGCCCGACCCGACCCGCCCGTCAGGGTCCGCCCGACCCGAACCCGTCCCGCCCGTTAGGGTCCGCCCGTCCCGACCCGACCCGCCCGTTAGGGTTCACGCGTGCTCACTCGAGCGCGCCCTAAACTTTAGTGTCCCGCCCGCCCGACCCGACCCGCCAGCTAGGGTCCGCCCGACTCGACCCGACCCGCTTCGCCCGCCAGGGTCCGCCTGCCCCACCCGACCCGCCCGTCAGGGTTCACGCGTGCTCCCTCGAGTGCGCCTCCACACTTTAGTGTCCCGCCTGCCCGACCCGACCCGCCCGTTAGGGTCCGCCCGGCCCGAACCCGCCCCGCCCGTTAGGGTCCGCCCGACCCGACCCGACCCGCCCGTTAGGGTTCACGCGTGCTCACTCGAGCGCGCCCCACACTTTAGTGTCCCGCCCGCCCGACCCGACCCGCCCGTTAGGGTCCGCCCGACCCGACCCGACCCGCTTCGCCCGCCAGGGTCCGCCTGCCCCACCCGACCCGCCCGTCAGGGTTCACGCGTGCTCACTCGAGTGCGCCTCCACACTTTAGTGTCCCGCCTGCCCGACCCGACCGCCCGTTAGGGTCCGCCCGACCCGAACCCGTCCCGCCCGTTAGGGTCCGCCCGACCCGACCCGACCCGCCCGTTAGGGTTCACGCGTGCTCACTCGAGCGCGCCCCACACTTTAGTGTCCCGCCCGCCCGACCCGACCCGCCCGCTAGGGTCCGCCCGACCCGGCGCGACCCGCCCCGCCCGTTAGGATCCGCTCGCCCGACCCGGCCCGCGTGTGAGGGTCCGCTCGACCCGTCCCGCCCGTTAGGGTCCGCCCACCCGATCGGGCCCGCACGCTGGGGCTCACGCGTGCCCACTTGAGCGCGCCCCGCATTTTTTAGCGTCCCGTTCTGACGCATCTCAGACACTCCTTGACATCCGGGACCTCCTTGACCCCCCCCCACGTCTCTGTGACCCTTTCGCATACTCAAGCGGCGCGCCTCAAAGGCTCCCAGGGGTCAGCACGGCGGCGGCGACGGCCACGCCAGCGACGGCGGCGCCTACTTTTGCCCCGGCGAAAGCCAACCCGGCGAAAGCCAACCCCGGCGAAAGCCAACCCGGCGAAAGCCAACCCCGGCGAAAGCCAACCCCGGCGAAAGCCAACCCGGCGAAAGCCAACCCGGCGAAAGCCAGCCCCGGCGAAAGCCAACCCCCGGCGAAAGCCAACCCCGGCGAAAGCCAACCCCGGCGAAAGCCAACCCCGGCGAAACGAAGCCCGGCGAAACGAAGCCCGGCGAAACGAAGCCCGGCGAAACGAAGCCCGGCGAAAGCCAACCCCTGCGAAAGCCATCCGTGCCACAGCGCCGCCCCTCTGGAGCCTCTTGGGACCCTCGTGGGGCGCTCTTAAGTTCTCTTGAGGTCGCCTTCGAGCTCGCTTGGGTGTCTCTTGGACCATCTTGAAGCCCTCTTGAGGCCCCAGAAGCCCATGGGAAGCGAAAAGGTGATAGAGCAAACGTCAGTGGCTTCCTTGGGTTGTGGACGGATCCTTGCCTTGGGTACGTCCCTGGAATGCTCTGGGGGCACTTGGGAGCCGTGTTGGGGTAGTCGGGGGGTCTCTATGTGGCATTTTGGAGGACATTTTGAGCCATCATGGACCTTGCGCCATCTTGGAGGCCACCTTGAGCTACCTGGAGCCATCTAGGAGCTATGCTGATCCAAGCGCCTCCCAAGGATGCCCCCGAGATGCCAAATTCTTTGACGAAAGGGGGGCCCTTTAGCTATCTCGCCCCTTGGGGGTCCTTCAACTACCCCGCCCCTTTGGAACTCAGAATTTTTCCTCTTGGGGCGCTCGTTAGGCAGCCTTAGGGCTGTCTCGGAGCCCTCATGGGCCCATCTTTGGGCCCCCTTTGGCCATGTTGGAGCAATCTTGAGGCCCTAGAAGTCCATCGGAAGCGAAAATGCGAGAAGGTAAATTCAGTGATATTCAATAGATCTTGCTTGAACTGATGTTAGCCTCTTGGGGACATCCTTGGAAGGCCTCGTGGGGAGAGACATCCGAGGATTTTTTTTTTTTGTTTGTTCCCCCCTCCAGGCAGTTTTCCCGTCTTGGATCAATCCTTGGTGGCCCTGAGGCCCAGCAGAAGCGGGCCGAGGAGACCGACATGCAGGAACAGCTCCTGGACCGAAACAATTCCTCCGCACTTTTGATGCCTCCCGCCCCCACTTGAGCAGCAGTCTGCCAGGCGTGCTGCTGCAGCGGCGACTGTCTCTGCGGCGAAGCCAGTGGCGGCGCCAGACGCGTCTTCGGTGACCGCCGCGGCGATGGTCACGCAGGCCGCCGCCGTATTCATACACGTCTGCCCTGCAGGCATGGATGGGGCTGCACACGCATGTGCATGACTGTATTGGGGCTTCGCGCCATGATATATATATATATATATATATATATATATATATATAGATTTATATAGAGTGAGGCCTCCTGGGAGCATCATGGGAAGTCGTGGTGGCTTTCTTGGGCCGCCTTGCTGTCAACCATAGTTTCCCTCAACGACCAGGTCCCGATCTGGATTGCGTTCGGAGGCGTTTGAAGGCCATTTTGGGCCTTCAAGCGCCCGGATGCTGAGGGTGGCACGAGCGCGAAGCATTTTCAAGGCACCCCGCCCGTCGATGCCCTCCCGGGCGCCACGTTCGGTTTTCTGGTTGGGCGGCAGAGGGGCGGCGAGAGCCGTCGGTGTTCTGAGGGGGACGGCCGCGGTAATTGTTTTGCGTCCTGGGGGAAGGGGGGGTGGCAGGCACGACAACGAACCAGACGGCCGCGCAGGGGTAGGCACGACTGCCTATGCGTGCTGGCCCCCCGCCCACAATCTCTTTCTCCGCCGCGCGTTCCTCGCGGTGAGATAACCGCCTATTGTTTTCCGTCACTTTCGTGGCCCACCTCTATTTCCAATTCGGTGTCGCCCTCTGGTGCAGAGGACGTGTGCTGCGGGCCGATGCAGGAGGCGCGCTTGCGCCATCGACAAGCTGCTTCGGATAGTATCTGGCTTAAGATGAAGTTCTTCCCAGGACGATGCGGAGGTTGTTTAGCGAGCCGATAAGGAGGTTACCGATTGCGAGCACGGATGCCTGGGCCGTTGCGCCACCACGCATGGGCCATTGCAACGATACGCCACGTTCATGGCACGTGATCACCTTTTCCACGGCATCCGCACGCATGGGCTTGCAATTATTCTATCCTCTCAGGTTTGGCCACCGTTTGTGTCCGCGCGCCTCGACGTAGCTGGCCTCTGGGTTCCTCCCCGACGCCAGGAAATCCACCAAGACGGCGCGAAGACCCCTGCAGGCGCGTCTCCGAGGTCCCCAAAGAGCTTCCAAGATGTGCCCAAGAGGCCCGATCAGGATAACTAAGAACTCCCCCAAGAAGCGCGGCCAGGTGCCGCCAGTATCTCGTGTTCGTGGTTCCTGCTCCGTGCATCGCAGCAATAGGAGGAGAGCGGGTTAACAGTCTCAAGATGGCCAAGGGTGAGCCTAAGACAGCCCGAGAGAGGCCCAAGAGAGCCCCATGACGCTCCAAGAAAGCTCAAGATGGCCCAAGAGGGCGCACAAGATGGCCGAAAAGAACTCCAAGACGGCTCACGAGGCCCCCGAACAGTCCAAGAGATGCCCCCAATACCCGCTTCAACGCGCGTCCAAGAGGCTTCAAGACGGCCTGGCCCCAAGGAGTTCCAAGGTGACCCCCCCAGACCCGGAGAACGTGGGAGACGAAGAATGATCCGAGTGAGGAGGAGGAGGAGGAGGAGGAGGAGGAGGAGGAGGAGGAGGAGAAGAAGGAGTAGGAAGAGAAGGTAGGCAATAACAGCCGCAACGGGGAAAAGGAGTAGGGAAAGACGATGGACACACCAGCGAGAGGAATGCAGAGGGCGAGCAGACGAGAAGGGGGAGGATGATCACTGCCTGGGGAGGATGAGCATTGTAGTGTGTGACAAGATGTTGTTAGAGCGTGACGTAATGCATTTTCCGCTATCTGCGTAGCACATGTTTTCATCTTTTCACGGAAGCAGCGGGGTATCAGAGACTGGTAGATTACCCGGTAAACAGGTAAACAGGTAAACAGGAGAAGGAGGAGGAGGAGGAGGAGGAGGAGGAGGAGGAGGAGGAGGAGTGGAATGGAATGGACTGGAATGGACTGGACTGGACTGGACTGGAATGGAATGGACCCCTTCGCGATGTGGATCTCGAGTGAAAATTGCCTCCCCTGAGCTTGGCATGGGCCTCGAGGGAAAGGTAGAGCACCGCCGCCACGAGCGGCCGCCGCCGGCCGGTGGAGACGCACGTCATGATCCGACACACGTGCACCTCCCTGCTTCCGGCCACCCGGTGAGCCCCTCCACGCTGGCACCGAGGGTGCTGTGGCTGGCGCTCAGGTCCCTCCGAAGGCCGAACGCCCACGGCGTGAACCGAAACCAAACGCACAGCGTGGTCCTGCTCCTCGCCCCCTTTCTGCTCCTCCTTCCTTTCCTCTCCCTTCCCAAAACCAATCCTCCCCCCTCTCCTCTTCCTGCTCATCTCCTTTCCTCCTCCCTTCAAGTCTCCCTCCCGATCATTTCCTCCATCGCGTGATGCCCACGATGGGCTCGACCTGACTCTAGCGCCTCTTTTACCTCCTGCTTGCACCCCTCTTGTTCTGTCCGTTGTCTTTACCCATCTGCTTTTTACTCGAAGGGGGGCTTCCATTGCCCGGGAGAGGCGTGGCTTTATCTGTGGCGATCTCCCGTCGCCGCCAACAGGGTCTGGTGCCTCGCCGGTCCTGATGGGTGCGACTTCCCCTCGCCGCCCACTGGGCCTTTGGGCCCCGCCGGCCTAGTTGTTGCGATGTGCGGTCGCCGCCCATGGGGTCCTCTGGTCCCGCTGGCCCTGGTGGCTGCGACGTCCAGTCGCCGCCCATGGATTCGGTAGTGAATCATGGGAGCCTGGTATACAATTTTCATTGTGTCTTCAGCGTCGATAAGCGTCTGGGAGTCGATGAGATAGCGCAGATTTTGCGTCGGTTAGCGTCGATTAGCATCGATTTAGCGTCGATTAGCGTCGACCAGCGTCGATTCGCAAGAGCCGACAAGATGGTATGGGAGGCCCCGATGAGTTACCACCGGACACGGAGGACACATCGAGAGAGGCGATCAGCATATTGGGTGGCTGCATGGGCGCCTCTGCCTCGCGGGATCGAAGGCTGGAGTCATACAAAAGTCTCGCCGCCCAGTCCTGCGCGGCGCCAGCGGCGCGGTCGCCTGTGCCGGCCGCAGCCGTGCCCGCGCCGCCTCCGGAGGCCGCGCACGCCCGCGCGGCGCCAGCGGCGCAGTCGCCTGTGCTCGCCGCAGCAGCGCCCGCGCCGCCTCCGGAGGCCGGGTGGTGGTCGCAGTTCTTTGAGGTCGTCGGGAGCTCCAAACCCCCCCCCCGTGCTCGGTGGTTCCAAGATGGGGTCGTGAGGGAAAGGGTCCGAAGGATAGGAAGGGCCCCACGGGTGGATGTACACTGCCTGAGGCACCTCGTCTTCAGGACCCCACCCTTCAGCACCCCCCCTCTTTGGACAACCGACTCGCAGCCCACGAGGCGCACCCGTGCGCACGCACCCTTGCCCCGGGCTTCCCGTCTCAGCTCCTGCTCCCGCGACCGCTCCTGCGTCCTGGCTCTCCTCCGCTCCCGGCCCAACTGCCCGCTCCTGCCCCCGCTCCTGCCCTCTGCCCCCCAGCTATCCCGAGGGCCCCCAGGACCCAGACATCTGGCGTCTCGGTTTTTCCGAGACACGGGTCCCCGACTCGGGACCATCGAAATGGGTACGGAAAGAATGGGTAAGATGCCCATCAGCAGTTCCTTTTCATTTTGAACAGGACTCGCTGTCCGTGCCGCCGCGGACGTTGTTCATTGAAGACAAGAAGCCGCCTGCCCGACAGCGGCCGCTGTCGGTTTTGGACTACGTTTCTTGACGTTTCTTGTTGGGCGTTGTACCCATGCTTTCCCGTACTCCTTTCGGGCGTCCGGGCCGACCTCTCGACCACCTTCCCAGGACTGGCTTTCCATCCCGAGTCGTTCCCTGACGGTCCCGAGGCCCGGTGAGGGCCCCGAGAGGCAGAAAACGCGGACAGAGCAGCTCCGCCTCGATTTTTCCGGGACGCCCGACGTCTGGGGGTCGCCGGGCGCCCGCGGTGCGCTTGCTGCGGGCCTTGGCCAGGCCATCCCGGGCCCAGGGCCGGCGTGCGCGCCGAGCCTGCGCCCGCGACGGGCCAGGCCATGCTCGGTGCAGGTGCGCAGTCGGCGCCCTCCTGGGCGTGCACGCCCGTCGTTGTGAGGAGGTGTCCTGGTACTCCCAGATCAAGCGCACGCAGTCAACCCGCATGGTAAGGATGGGCAACCTGCCCGAGGGTACCCTTGCATCCTTGCCCTTTCGGCCCACCCTTAGCGACTTTCACTGGCCAACCTCGTTCGAAAAACGTCAAGTGGGCCCTCCAAGGCCCTTGCATCCTTACTGCCTATCCTTCTGATACGGGTTGACTGTACTCCAGGCGCCTTCCTACTTCAACAATCGAATCGATATGATTCTCCGGGCGGGCCCGAGCCCAGTCTACTTCATCCGCCCTCCTGCTTCCCGTTTCCGCCGACTTCTTACGACGGGCGGGTACCCCGAGGGCAACCGGGAAGCGCAGATCGGGGGTCCCCAGGTGACGCAGCGGCGCGGAGGCGTGGGGCCGAGCCTCCGCCTGGCCGCTGCTGGGCCTCGCAAGCCCTGGGGGCAGCACGGGCTCACGCTCCGTGGATCAGCGTTTTGGAATCGCGGCGATGTCTCTCCCCATGGGGTCGGCTGAGGACCCAGGCCCCCCGGTGTCGTGAGGCAAGTGCTTGATTTGCATCTTTGTGTTCATCTTCTGCCTCCAGGGACCCTCACTGGGCCCCTGGTGCCGTCACGAAGTGTCTCGGGGTGAAGAGCCGGCTCCACGGAGAGTGTCGAGACGGTCTCGACGAGACCTCTGGGGGTCCATGGTGTGAGCAAGTCGCGACGGCGGGGCTCCGGGGGCGTGGGTGTCGGGGCGCGCTTTCGAGCGGGGTGGGCGCACCATGTCTCTGACCCTCGTGTGCCCTCTGCGCAGCGGTTGCTCCTTCAAGGAGCGTGCTGGACCAGTGCTGGGACTGGCGGGTGAGATCGGGTCATTGCGCCGCTATCGGTCCACGAGATCCCAGCTTCCTGCTTCTCACTGTGAGGGCGATTCAGAAATACACCTCAACTGCCAGGCCCTGTGCTCCTTCCCATCGGCAGGACTCGTGGAATGACGTTGCGTCGGATATGCTTCGACCAGCATTTTGCTCAGAGCACTCATTAGCGATCGTCCATGCGGGAATCCGGGAGGGAGGCAAGGGGGCACAAAGCTGGACACACCATCAATCGAGCTGCTTCGGCAGCGTTTTTGGTTCCATCTGCCCCAAGAAAAAGTCTCGTGAAGGTCGCAAGACCCCCTGGTCGTTTCACAACACCGCTTAAGATGGTGACACGTGCTTCAGCAGATCGTGCCATTTTCTTAACTCATCGGAAGGATGAAGGTCAATACCACTTCCATCCTCTTCCATCCTTGACGCAGTGCGCTTTCAGCCAACAGTGCGTTGAGCCAGTGTGCCTCTCATGTTCTTCTTGAGACATGGCCACGATGCAATGGGTCGGAGAGAAGACGAAGAGAAGTGCGGACCGCAACCCAACTTTGCTCAACCATGCAGGTGTGGTATCACTGCGCGTCTCCCTGTCGCGGGTGCCCTGGGCAAGACTAAACCTCTCGGGGGTGTCATCTCGCCGTGTGTCCAAGCCAATTGACACATCAGATGCAGGTTCGGTAATCGCACAGCTCGCCTCCTCTGCCCCTTGTCTGCCTTCGTATTCCTTCCGCGGGATTTCGCTGGCCACCTCGGCCAAATGCGCTTACACATGATACACGCGACGCGCCCCTCTGTTCGTCCAAAGTCCACCACTCGAGCTCACCCAGCGCAGGTTGATTTGCATGATGTCCTATGTATTGGTGCGGTTTGAACTCGCTGTCTCGTCTTAATCATGTTGTCCGCTTTCTTCATCCTCCAAGCTCGCTCGGAGGAAACATGCCAAGCATGAGTGCATGCATTCACAAGCACTTGTGCGTGTGCATTCAGGCATACACTTAGACACCGACACACGGCAATATCTACGGGTCAGCACTTTAAGGGGACTTGCGACAAGTTGCGCATGCGCAATTTTGAATCGATGTGCCCATCGAGTCAACACATGAGTGTGTACACGCATGCAAGCACACATTCATGCACGTATTGCACGCTGTGCAACTCCCTCATCCTTCTGTGCGTTCACTCTAAATCGATATGGCGTATTCGAACTTGGACATCCGCCTCCCGCAAGCACCGAATGACCCAATGGGAGAACGTTGTGTCCCTCACGAGTCGTTCTGAAGACGCGACACCCCGCGCTGCCTGAGTCAAGGCCAACGGTTGTATTGTCTAGCAGGGGATGCCTCTCGAAGGCACCAGTGCTTCCGCAATTTGCTGCCAGTGGCTCGAGCTAGAGGCTACCGACTACGGGCACAAGCATGCACGCGCGCTTTCTCGCTCTGCTCCATAGCACCCATTGACGCGATCGTGGTCTAGCTTGAGTTGTGAGAGCAGTTCAGCCCCTCGGCCTGGTGGCACGGATTGTTTTTATCCCATTGGGCAAATGCGAATGCGCTCCAGCTTCGACGCCCACTAGGACTTGACCCCTTTGGGAAAAAGAACGAGTTTCTGTGCTCTGGATTCAAGGCTCCCCCAGGTTCATCTGCGTGATGCAGATCTTCGCTCGCTCACTGCCGCCATGGACGGCCTCCTGCACAAGCTCCGGGAGGAGGCGGGGCGCAGTCTGCTCCGGTGCATGTGTTTAGGTGGCTTTGGCTGGAGGGGCCGCGAGTAAGGCGTCGCGTGTTCTGGATGAAGGTGCTCGCAAGCAGCGTGCTGGCGGCATTTGCGTGTTTTAGCTTGCTCGTCCCACATTGCTCCTGTGACGAAATCCCCCTGGAGGTGGGACTGGATCAGGGGGCCTTCGGTAGGGACCACCTCAGCTCGGAGATTCCGAGAGAGTTCTGGAGAAACTGACCGCGCCAGTCATCTTGACACCCACGCTCGCTTTCGTTGATCATCGGAAGGACAAGAAAAGGCATGATCTGGAGGCGCTACCCCTGGCGCGCACCTCGCGCGCTGGGGAGGGGGCTCAGCGCCGATCCGATCAATCCGCGCGGACCTCAGGAAGATTATGCTTGTGCATATTTTGTTCCTCCAGCTCAGCTGGCCCCTACCGAGGTACCCTCGAGGTTTTTTTCAAGGTCGCCCAGGCACCTTGTCAGCCCTTCAGATCCGGACATGACAGATCAAGTCAGGGACGGCGGTTTTGCTTTGTTTCGGTCCCCTGGTTCCTGCCATGATTCTTTTTCGTAGTGTCGCCATATCTTCAGGACGCCTGATCCTTGAAGTCGCGTGAACACCCTTCAGCGCGAGACTCAAGCAGTGCATTCCAGAGAGTTCGACCTTGCCGAAGGAGCAAGGGTTGCACTCTTTGCCCTTGGCGGAAGCTGACTGGAATGCCCGCCGCGGACCTTGGCGGAAGTGACGCTGGAGTGGCTCGGCCAGCGGAAGCCTGATTCAAGCCGTCGGAAGTGAAAGCGGAGCCCACAAGACGTGCCAAAACATGTGTCCTCAGGTTTTTGGTGCCATTGATTTTGACACGTATTGAGGCCTGAACATACAGCGGACTGGTTAAGCGCATGTATTATGTACGTCCACGATTTTGTAGGAAGCAAGGAGATGCTGCATGGAGGGGTGAGAGAAGAATAATGATGAATGCAGAACTACGAGACGTGAGCGGGTTGGTGGTCACCTCGTTCTTCTCTTCTGTGTTGTTTCCACTTGCTGCGATAATGGAGAGAGTCTGTGAGAAGGGCGGGTGTGTGGGAATCAGCGCTGCAGCAGCCTTCGAAGGGTGCGCTCCGGCGCAGGCCAGCACTCCGCACTCCGCACCCTGCACTTGCTTGCCGTTGTTTCACACATCGTAAGTAAGGGGCTGCTGTTATCAGTGTCATGCCTCCGCCTCCTAGCCTCTTTATCTTCCTCGTATCGCACATAGTGAAGCCGTACTGACACTCAGCTGTTCGTACTCAGCTCAGACTCACTCACGCTTACACTCACTCATACTCAGGCTCACTTCTGCTCAGATCCACTCCTGGTCAGACTCACCCAGTGCCGAGCCCACTCGCACTGCTACTCACCCACGTTCAGGGACCCACTCACGATAAAATTTAGTCATACTCAGACCCACCCTTTCTAGACTCACCCATGCTCAGACGCAACCTCACTGACTCTCACCAATGCTCAGAGTCATTCGTACGTGCACACGTACTCTCTCATGCTGAGACCCGCTCGAACTCTGACAACCGCGATGCAGCAGGCATCGCGCTCGGGCTTCCCATGGGGGCGGGGGCGCCAGGGGGCGTTCGACGACCCGTTCGGGCCCACTGGGATGCTGGGATGCCAGCGCGTCCCCGAAGAGCCGCCCACTCCAGTGCTTCTGCCTTCCGCTCCGCTTCCCTCCTTCTCCTCCTCCGTAGCCATTTTTGGCGCAAGGCTAAACGTTGTGAAGGGCTGTAGGCGCCCGAGAACCAGTGATTAGCTTTGAAGCCCCTCCGGCGGCTTTTGTCGAGCATTCGGGCAGGTGCCATCTCAGAGGCTGGCCGCGTTTCCATACACCACGAGATGGCCCGAATCACGCCAGTCACTTCCGCTGATGGTGTTTCAGCAGCTGCTGCTCAATGGGAACAGGTGGGATTCTCCGCTCCCCCTGACGAGGGTGAAGATGTCGGTGGTGTCTTCGCCGCGAGGACAGGCCGCTCCGACTACAGCAGCCAGTTCATCACCTTCGACGCAGACGACAGATAACTTGATGTCACTTTTGCGGAACATGGATCAGAAACTCTCGAACGTGTGCATCAGAGATGTAATGCAGCAGCTGCAGAACCGCCTCGACACGCACGACGAACACTTCGCCACCCTGTAGACCCGCATCGCCAGGATCGAAGATGGCACCTCCGAGAAGATCGCGGCCGCTGTTGAAGCTGCCATCCTGACCAAGCGGCCCGCTTGCAAGCTTGCGAGCACGCCGCATCTACAGCAGCCTCTCGTTCGCGCTCCAGCCCATCTTCGAACAGCTCATTCTCTATTGCTGGGAGTCTGAAGCGCCGTGCCGTGGGCGGACACACGCCCTCCCCGATAACCGCAAACCAGGAGTCTGACAAGTGTCGTGTTTGGATCGGCGGGTTCCCTCGCTGTGTGCTCGGGTTTCTGCTGCAGGCCCACGCCAAGCTAGTCCTCAGCCAATTGCCATCCTCGTACTCCGCGGGCGCCGAGATCACCGCCAAGAACATGCAGATGAGCTATTCGATCCGCTTCGCCACCACTGATGTTGCCAGCGGCGTCGTCCAGCAGCTGAAGACGGGCGGCGTTGACTGGGTAGACCCTCGCACCAAGGTCAATCTCAAGATTCGCTGCCGCCTTGACTGACGCCAGCGCGGAAGTTCGAGCGCGTCGCAAGTCTCTGTGTCGCATGTGGCAGGCTGTAATCAAGCACATGAAGGAGCACGGCCTCTGCAAGACCGATTACCGCCTCGGCTGCAATGGCCCGCGCGGAATACTATTCACCTTGTTTGGCCAGGACGATGTCGAAGTCCTTGTGTCGCTCATTGACGTCGACAAGGACAGCTACACATTCGACATGAAGTACGAGAGCCTCCAGACCTTCGGGATCGATCGCGTCGCAGCCGACAAGATCGGTGGAGCTGCCCTCGAATAGAGGCATGCACCGTTTGCAAGGGATTCTGACATGTTGTCGAGCATGGCTCGGCCATGCAGGGTTCGCTGGCCGCTGCGCGAGGGGCGTGCTGCAGCCCCTGCACCGAATTTTGATAGCACCAGCTGTTCTTCTTCATCCGCGTCTTTGTCCTCTTCCTTCTCCGACTTTATCTTGTTGATAACCCCCGCCCCGACGGCTTCCGTGACCCCGACTCCTGCGCCCCTTGCGTAATCTCGGGTAAGCTCTCCACTTTTTCTTGGGGCGTTCGTCTGGTGCGCGACGCGATCTGGTACAGCCGCAATCTGGCCAGGAATCGAATCGATTTCATAAAACGTCTTGTTTCCCGACATCAAGTAGTCGGGTTGCAAGGAACCAGGGGCTCCCAGAAGGAGCTCGACCTCCTCCTCATCGAAATCTCTCGCGTACGTGGCTCTGGCACTTTCTTCGAATCTAGAGATGCTGGTGGCTGCATCATTTTCCTGAGCGAGTCCCTCTGTCGCATTTCCAGCCCGTTCGGCATCCTGTGGTCCGAAGGGGCAGTGCCCGGCAGGTTGCTCTCTTCAGCTCTCAAGAGGTTCTCCAAATCATGAACATTCACAGCGCCCCGGCTATCCTCGCCCCTGCCCAAAAGGTCGTCCTTACTCGGGTCTCGCGAGCCCTGTTTCCGCAACGCAGAGCTTCAAGTGTCACCGTCGGCGGTTGGATTTTTTGCATCGAGGGCGAAGGCTCTCAGCGCGTCTCTGGCAGGCAGGCCTCGACGAGGCCTGACATCGTCCGTCATGCTGCTCGGCTTTTCTCGCGCTACTCTGAAGTGATGCAAGAAATGCCGACGCATCGTGCTGTTCAGGGCGATGTGCCGGTATCGGTCGCACGTTTGGATCGCATCCCGTGTAGCGCGCGTGCCGCAGGGGTCCAAGACGCGCAGCTCAGCGCGATGGTCGTCGGTGATGTCACAGACCGCACAACATTCCCCGATCACATCCTAATCTGCCTCGCCCTGGCGCCCCGGCCCCCCGGCGCCCCTGGCGTCTATGCACCGCCTAATTGGGTTTCAAAACCTTTTGGTTTCTCTGCTGAGTGCGAGCGCGTTTTCTCGGAAGCTGGATCGTTTAGCTCGGGCCCCTGGGAGCGTCTTGAGGGGGCGAAAGACGTGCTCATGCGTGCTGGTCGCAGTCCTATGGGGCGTCTTGAGACCGAGGGGGCCAACTCGGACTCGGAAGAGATGTCCTGGTGTCTTCTCTCATGCGTGCCGCCCGCGCGTAATCGTTCGCGTGCTCGACGCGCGTGTCGTGCTTGCTTGGCCCTGGGGCGATTTCTGGACCTCGAGTTTTTGATCAGGTCTGATCTGGGTGGTTTCCATCGGCATGTTAGCGTGCTACAGCGTGCGCGTCTACGGCGTGATATCGAAGATGCAGAAACATATTCTTCTTCACCTCCTGCTAAGCGCTTGGCGCGACGACGTCAGCTGTGCCAATATTGTTCAGTTTGGGCCTCTGGGGGCCGCCGCGTCCGTCTGGCTGGCATCGCTGACCCCTGGGGCATCGAACACTCAGACCCTGACGAAGTAACCGTGCGATTAGCGCAGTTCTGGGGAGGTGTTCATTAGGGGCATCCTTGTCTGCCCCAATAGCTCGAGCATGTCCGACCGTTTGTCCAGATAGCTCCGCCTGTGCCTGAGTGGGAGATAACGTTCGGCGAAGTCAGCATCATCTTTCGCAAAGTTAAGGATCCCCCCCCCATGCCCAGACGGTTTGGTCTACGCTGCTTGGCTGCGCGCAGGAGAGCCTGCCCTATTTTCCCTCCTTCGAGCCTACTGCGCGCTCATCCAGAGCTTGTGCGTGGGAGACGGCTTCAAGCACGCCTTCGCTGTCTTCTTAGTCATGGGCGATGTCCAATTAGATGTGCACGGCGCCCTCCGCTCAGCAGACAAGACGAGGCCAGTGACATTGAGCGACGCGTGCAACAAGCTGTGCTGTCTGGCTCCCAACCATGCCCTAAGCTATGGTTGCCAATATGTTTGCTACAAAAACCGTGCGGGGTCGTGCGGGGGAGATCAATGCTCGACAACATGGTCGGTTTTGAGGCCAGCATGTGTCACTATTTGGGTCAACAATTCCTTCCGCATTCTGGGTGTGTTCTACGCGATGTTAAAGTTGCCTGCCCCAGCCTACGGCATGGACATATCCATTGGATTATGGAGCTCATGGAGTTCCCCCCCCAAGCCTCTGCAGGGCCATCAAGTTGCTCTACTCTCAATGCTGGGTTAGTGTATCATATGGTGGCCTCGCGTCCGTCGGCTTCTGGGTGATTGGAGGCGTTGAGCAGGGCTGCTCGCTGTCGGTTTCCATCTTCGCCCTCTGCCTAGACCCCATCCTCCGACTCATGCTCTCTCTTCCACCTGGCCATTCGCTGCTGGGAGCATTCGCTGATGATGTCGGCATAGCCTGTGGAGATGTCTACAGCACGCTGAGCATCACTCTCCTGATCTGGTGCATTGCTGCTGGCGCCGCTGGGCCTGTTCTAAAGCTCGAGGGCACCCAGCTTGTCGCGCCTCGCATGCCGGAACACCAGCTCTCTCTCAGCAGATTGCGTGCGCTCGGAATTCGAGGTAAGAAGTTTCAGCTGAAGCGCGCGGGCAAAGATCTCGGTCTGATGGTCGGTCTCGAGGGGTGGCACCAGTCGCGGGTAGCGCCTGACAGAAAGTTCTTCGACCGGGTGGCTTCGAAGGCCCTGCGCCTCGGTCTCGCCAAAAAACCTCGCCAGGTACAATGTGTGTGACTTCTCAGCCCTCACCTGCGTCGCCCAGTTCCACCTTCCCGACCGCGTCCCTTTGAGTTTCGAGGAACGAGGTCTCCGACTTCTGACTGAGGGCCCCCGTGATGCCTACAGTCGTACCCCCCACGTAGTCTCGAGGCGAGGGTTAAGGATTCCCCGTTCAGGCCCGTAACTTGTATACTACGTCTCGGGCCTCTATGTGTCGCCTAGCCGTTTTTAGTGTATATATAACATGACGTGATCAGTATGTTTGGCCAATCTTGTGAATCGTTAGACTGTGTTGGCGCGTGGGAGAGTCGCCCTCTGCATTTGATTTCCAGTTTCAGAATAATTACAAGTCGCAGTCCAGCAACCCTGATATTTCTGTGTTTGGCACGCCCGCGCTGCAGAGAAAGACGGAAGCCCTCTTGTTGAGCCGTGCTCCCAATGGCCTTGCCCCCGCCATCATCGCTCGTGCTGCTCATTGGCGTGGCATCTCGCCCGAGGCAAAGTGCAGTTGCTGCTCGCGCTTCGTAGAATCGCCGCGAAGACGCCACCGCGTGTCTTCGCCTCTGTCCTTCGCACGAGCTGTAATGCTTGGGGGATCTCTCGACGCTTCAAACACGAAGCTAAGACATGTCTATTTTTCTCTAATCCAGAATGTCCCATAGCACACATGCTAGAATGCCAAGCCCTGCGTAATGCCATTGCTCCCCTCCCTCGTCTTCCTCCTGCGCTCGGGTCGGTCTTGGGGTGGGCCTGCCGCTGCCGCTGCTTTTCCGCTTCTTCCCCTTCCTGGCGATCACCTGTTGTCTTTTGCTTTATTTGTAGATGCTGCTTGCATGAGCTACCATAACTATAAAGCGACGTCGAGACTCCGAGGTGAGTCCAGACTCCGCCGCGCACTGAAGTCCAGAGTGCGCCGGGACCTCAGGAGGCAACCGCCCCTCCGGGGCTTCGTGCATTAGCCGGGGCGCTTCGGCCAGGCGGGGCCCCTCCCTTCGGCGGCGTGCCCTCCTCCTCCTCCTCCTCCTCCTCCTCCTCCTCCTCCTCCTCCCTCCTCCTCCACCTCCTCCTCCTCTTCCTGTGGCGCCCGCCGCCCATGCTGCGCGCCGCGGGGGGGCCGTCTCTCGGGGCCGCGGCTGGTGGCCGAGAGGCCATGCGCCGCATTCTATTTGAAGCTCATATTTCGCATGGCAGTCGAAACTTCGACGCTCAGAGGCAGTTTAGCTGAGCGGTGATGTGGGCGGTCCTCCCAGGCCAGTAGCCAGTGTGCAGCACTCCTGGTGAGCGTTGTGGAGTACTTGCGCCCCCGCCCCTGGGATTGCGAGACGGAGCCGAGAGCGCCCAGCCGTGCGAGGCGGCTTGGGCCGTTCAGTGTCATGGCTGCTCGCGATTCCGCGTAGGAGCGTCGCTGATGGGTGTCGTCGACGACCTGGGCAAGCAACGCTGGCCATCGAAGGGCCGCCGCTGCCGCCCCAGCGGTGGCCCCCCGGGCGCGGCGACGGCAGCGCGGGTATTCCAGGCCCGCGAGAGGTGCAGAAGGGCTCCAGACGCCCACGGCGGCTCCCAGGGCGGCGAGATGATTGCCTGGGGCGCGCGGGGCTCCCGCGGTGGGGCAGCGAGCAGGACCGTCCGATGGGCGCCGTGCAGAGTCGGCCAGATACCCGTGGGGAGCGCGCCAGGGAGGCTAGACGTTGGCGTGGGCGCGGCTACCCGGTCTTCGCCAGAAGCAGCAGCTGCTGCGCGGGCAGCGCTTCCAGACCCGCCGCAGCGTGGGGGGATGGGGGCAGCGGGGGTCCAACGACCTCGGGCGCCACGGAGACAGGCGGGCGCGCCAGCGCTGCGCTTCCCCGACCTCTCCCCGCTCGCAGCCGCTCGCATTCGCAGTCGAATTAATGCCTGCAGGGTTTTGATTCGCAGCCGGCCGATCTCGCGGCCGTTTCCGCTCGCACACCCATGCGCCGACGGCTGCTCGGCCTGCGCTCGCAGTCGAACTGTTCCAGCGGATCCTCCTCGGCCGCGCCGTTGCGCGTCTCCTCCCGTGGTGTTTTCGCCCCCGCGACCACAAGAAGGATACTTTCTCCAAGAAGCTGGTAGACCTGCGGCAGCACATTCGGGGTCTTTATTTGCAACGGTGGCTTGTAGCCCCAGGACGAAATCCCCATAGGAAAAGACCCGTGCTTTCTCATCAGGACTGCCCAGAGCGTCGCCCCAGACGGAAATGCGCATTGGCGGGGGGGGAGTCCCGCCTGCACGGAGAATGGCACACGGCGTGGCGGAGACCCCAGCGGTTGCGGCAGGTGAGGAGCGGATGGGTTCCTGCAGCAGCAAGGTACCCAGGTGACAGCGCGGCCTTGGACTGGAAGGAGAGCGACATCGCAAGAGCGGCGTGGTCACGGGAGGAGCGCACCAAGTGATCGCAATTCATCATAGGAATGCCCTCGATCGGTGTCTTGTGTGCCAGCGAGGAGCGAAACTGTCATGGAACAGTATCGCCTTCAGACGATGTCGCCGAGAACGTTCCCGAAAGAGCCAATGCTCCCATGGGCATATCTGGATGTTGGGGGGCGCCCGTCAATGAGGTAGCTCGTTGTCTTCCGGCGGTAGGACGCAGTCGGTGCCCGCTCCCCCCGTGTCTATGCGCTCTCTGGTGGCTTCGTGTCGCTGCCTGCCTTGAGGGCACCCAGCCTTCCTCCACCCCACGCAACGACGCTGTTTATATTCCTCCGCCGGGGTCGCATGGCACGCCAGCGCAGCCAACCCTGCAGCTGATACCTCGAACGCGTTTTAGAACGCCTTTCGCTTGGTGTCGGCGCCCCCCTTGGCGGGTGGGCTCCCAGCCGCACCCGTGCTCAGGGATGCGGCATCCCTGACGCGCAAGCCTACTGGATGAGTCTGGGCAATGGGGGCTCTGCCCCTGCAGTTCCCCGCAGCCCCCCCTGGAGTTACGGCTCTTGGGGTGGGCTCCTGTCGACGTTGCTTCCGTGGAGTCCTCCGCCGCGATTCCTTGCCTCTGCCCTCTCTTTCCTCCTCCTCCTCCTCCTCCTTCTCCTCCTCCTCCTTTTCCTCCTCCTCCTCCTCCTCCTCCTCCTCTTATTCCTTCCCCTCCAACTCCTCCTCCTCCTCCTCCTCCTCCTCCTTCTCCTCCTCCTCCTCCTCCTCCTCCTCCTCCTCCTCCTCCTCTCTTTCTTCCTCCGCTCTCCCCGCCTATCCTTTCCCACGCTCCACGCTGGCGCTTGTGCCGATACGCCGTGCAGATGATCACAGACCCGCCGGGCCGCACTTCGCACCAGCGCGCCACAGACCACCGGCGAACAGAGGTCGTGTCCGTAGCTCTAGGCCTCCCAGATGGGGTCCGAGTAGACGGGGTCGGAGGATCGCGCCGCATCGCTGATGCATCGGCGATGCGGTTCGATGTGGAGCCCGACTTTCTCCACGCCGACGGCGCTGAGGCATCGCCGACGTATCGCCGATACATCCGTGATGCCGCGCGATCCGCCGACCCCATCTATTCGGACCCCAGCTAGGAGGCCTCCATCAGCCTATGGCTCAAGTTTGTTCTTGCCTGCACGCGAGCTCGCGCGTGCCTGACCTGCGGCCGATGCGATGTGGACGTTCCGCGGGCCCTTGCCGGGCGCATCGGCTCCAGAGCCCGCGGTGCTCCAGGCAGCGCGGCTGGCTGCCTCGCCCGCGGCCGGCGCCGTCGAAGAGCTGGATCGCAAGCACCTCCTGGCACTGAACCTGCGGTGCCTCCCAGCTGCCCACGGGCTCTCGCCGCGCGCCTACTACCTTCCGCCGCCGCAGGGCGCTGGCGGGGATTGCGGCGAGGGCGCTGCCTTCCGCTCCGACTTCGCGCTTTCGGAGGCGGCCTCCCTGCTCCTCAGAGCGAGCGCCTGCCTCTCCTCCTCCAGCGGAGGGGGAGCGGCGAAGCAGCGGGACCCGAGGCAGGAGGCGGTGGAGGTTGCGTGTGCCGTGTGCAGATCGTACCTCGAGAGCGACGGCGGGGAATGGATGAACGAGGGTTATTGGCAGGCGCTGCAGTCCGAGGCCGCTGGCGACGGAGCCCTGCCGCTGGCAGTGTGCGAGGAGGCCCAGCGCTTGCTGGGGCTGCTCCAGGAGCGCCTGCCGTTCTTGCAGTTGGGGCTTCTAGTCCGGAATGTATGGATCCTGAAGCCCGTCGCGGGAGCCCACGGTCAAGGCATCGCCTTTATCACGGCGCTCGATGCGGACGGGACTCCTGTGCAGACAGAACGGACGGAGAAGGTTTCCTTTCAGAGGCGTGGCCTCGGTGACCACCTGGGCTTCGTGGTGCAGAAATACATCGAAAGGCCGCACCTCCTCAGCGCTGATATTCTCGGTGACGACGGCGACGCGTCTGGAGAAACCGGCCATGCCCAGCCTCGGGGCCAGTCTCAGCATCGGCCGCGGCCGATGCACAAGTACAGCCTGCGCTTCTGGGTGGACGCCCTCTGGTCTTCACACCGCCCCGAGGCCTGGCTGTACGAGACGGGCTACGTCCAGCTGGCGAACAGCCCCTACACGGAGCAGCTGACGGAGCCCACGGCGCACGTCTCGAACCTCGCTCAGCTCGCCGCGCCCGCCAGGTCCAGCGGCCTCCCGCGCACGCCCGCGGAGCTGTCGCTGGAGGCCTACCGCCGCGAGTCGGTGGCGAGCCCGGGGGGAAGTGAGAAGGGGCGGGCCTTCTCACAAGGCTCGGGAGTCCCCTGGCCTTCTGAGGAGTCTTCCCAGCCCTCCCCCGAAGGCACAGAGATCTTCTCAGAGGGCGCGAGGGCTTCTGGGAAGCCCCTGCCGCCTTCCGAGAGACTCTCCTCCCTTCTGGCTCTCCCCCCCCCCCGGTCGCCGCCGAGCCGGCTCCGCCGCCAGCACCCGGGCGCCGACACCTACGCCGAGCGCCTGCTCCCGCAGCTGCGGCAGGTCGCCGCGGGCGCCCTCGCGGCGGTGCGCCCCGGCGACCCGCCAGAGGATCAGGCGGGGAAAAACACACACACACACACAGACACAAAAGGATCGCCGATTCCCAGGGAAACATAGAGAACATGCGGGACGGGGAGGGGAAGGCGAACATCCAGTCCAGGGAATGTGGAATATACAGGGAACCCTGGGATTTGTCTCTCTCTCTCTCTCTATTGGTGTGTCCCTGGGCCCCTTGAGGAGGAGGAGAAGGCACCAGGGCGGCGCCCCTGGAGGCGCCTCGGGCTGGACTTCGCTGTCTCCGAGGATCTCCGGGTATGGCTGATCGAGGTGAACAAGAAGCCGGGCATGGGCTGCGCCAAGGTCGTCGACTTCAAAGGGTAACCATAGGAGGTCTTTTAGTTTTGTTCCCCCCTTTTCATTAGGTGGTGAATAGGACTGGTCCTAAAGCCTCTTCCTCCTCCTCCCCCCTCCCCCCCTGAGGCATAAGCAGTAGTAATAGTCGTAGTAGTCGTAGTCGCAATCGTAGTCGTAGCCGTCGTTGTTGTTGCGCGGTGGGTGCCGCGGAACAAAATAATTACTTACCCCCTTTGGTGGGACCCCAGTCCGTCAATAAGGCCGCCGAAACAATGATTAGTTGCCCCCTATGGGGGGGTTCTGAAGAGTTATCGCGGTTCTGGTTACGACGGGGTGCGAATTGCGATGTGCGCCGCTTGGACCCGGGGGGCACGACACTGTCTCCGCCCGGGCCTCCTCGGGGCGTGGCGGAGAACTCCATAGAGGTCCCCGCCCGCCCCCCAGTTTGCCCCCCCCCCCCCCCCCCCAGGGTGCCGGTTGCAAGCCACACCCTTTGCAATTCACACCCTTCGGAGTCGCCGGCAAGGGGCGGCGGGGGGACGCCACGCACCGCCTCGTCTCCCGCTTCTTCGAGGCGGAGAGGGCTCTGAGGTGCCAGCGGGGCGGCGCCCAGGAGGAGTGCGAGGCGGGCTCCCGAGCCTTTGGGTTCAGAAGGCTCGACGTGGCCACCTGGGGACAGCCTGCCGCGAGCACAGGCCGCGACGCGGATTGCATGGGCGGCGGCGAGACGCCCCCAAGCTCTGCCCAGTCCTTGTTAGCGGACGGCCTTGCAGATCATCCCTTGCACGGCAGCCGAGCCTCGCTGGCTCTCGGGCATGCCCGTCAAGTTGATGTGCCGCCAGGCTCTGTGAAGGAGCTTCACTTGAAACACCTGCTCGCCCTCAACCTTCGCAAGCTGCGCGGCGAGGAGCTCCGCTTCGTGCCCCGGAGCTACGTCCTGCAGCCGGGGAACTTCTTCGAGGAGGAGTTCGCCGATTTTGCTTTTGATTTCAAGATCTCGCAGGCCCTGGCCGTCGTGAAATACATCGCTGAGGCTTCCGAGACTGCCCCGTGGTCGCCGCCTGACCCCGCCGCTTCGGGCAGGGGCGCCAGGCGGCAGCCCGAGGGCCTCTGGGGCCGGGACCTCCTGGAGGTCTCTTGGCAGCCCGGGCCCGACCCGTCGCTGCCAGTGGACGGCCAGTGCGTCGCGGCGGCCCTGGCCGTGGCGCGGCGCGTGGTCGCGGCCGGGCAGGCGAGGAGGGCCGTCGCCGTGGACGAGGCGGAGTGGGCCCTCATCCGGAGCTTCTCGCCGCAGGCCCGGCTGGCGGAGCCGCTCTGCGATTCCGAGGCGGCTGGGGCGCTCCTGAGGGCCCTCCCGGCCGAGCTCCAGGTCTCGCTGCTGTGCGGCAATCTCTGGCTGCTGAAGCCGAGCTGCGGGCAGTTCGGGCGGGGCATCCTGCTTCTGGATCGGCTCCCGGAGGCCCCAACGCAGCTGCTCCAGTGGGCCAGTGCCGTGGGCCGCGGGGGCCTGAAGGCGGCCAGCAACGACAAGGAGGGGTGCATCCTGCAGAAGCTCGTGGAGAGGCCTCACCTCCTGGATCCTGAGGTCCTGGGGGCCGCTGCTCGTCCAGGGCCGAGACGGGCCCCGGCTCTCTTCAAGTACGGCATGCGCATTTGGGTTCTGGCATCCATGAGCCAGTGCCCTCGCGTCTGGCTCTACCGGGAGGGCCACGTGAGCTTGGCCCTGCAGGCGTTCACGGCGGCGCCCGATGCCCTGAGCCACATCACGAACCTGCGCGTGGTCGACGGGAATCCTGGGGAGCACACGCAGCGGCTCTGGCAGCTGAGCGACTTCGCGGCCCACCTGGGGGAGCACGAGGGCGCGGGCACCTACGAGGCGCGGCTCCTCCCGCAGGTGCGCGGCGTCGTGCGCGAGCTCTTCCGCGGCCTGGCCGCCGCGCCCAGCGCGCTGGCGCCCGAGGCCTCGGAATCGGGGCGGAGGCTTCGGCGCTTCGGGATTGACCTCCTCGTCGACGAGGCCCTGGCGGTGTGGCTCATCGAGGTGAACATCCTGAAGGACGGCTATGCCCTGCAGTATGCGCCGAGGGGCTCCAGCGGTGAGGCGAAGCGTCTGCTCGTCAAGCGGCTGGTCGAGGACGAGGCGCTGCTTCGGGTGGCGGCCAGGACAGGGCGGGGCGACATCCCGGAGACATTCGAGCAGCTGCTGCCAGCGTTAGATCCTGGAGGAGCGGAGGGGCGCCCAGGCCCCGATCCTCCTGCCTGTCTGACTTGTGCCGACGTGGGATCCGCAGTCTCGCCACCAGTCGGGGGAGGGAGGAGGTGGGGCAGCCAGGAGTCGAGATCCTCCCCTGCTTGTGTGGCCAGGGCTTTTGTCCGGGCCGCCTCCTGAGCGACCAGCACCGCAGTCAGGGGGCCAGCCTGACCACCACGACCAGACTGGGAAGTTGCCAAAGTTCCGCTTGTGGCCGCCGTAGGATTTGAGCTCCCCTGCCTTTCGCAGCCGCCCCTGGCCATGCAAACGGGCGGCCACCCCGAGGGGCCCGCCCACGTCGCCCACTGGCTCGTTCACCCACTCGCTCTCGCCCACTGGTCCAACGGCCCTCCAGCTCCAGACGTCCGACGTCATGATGGAGCCATTCACGCCGCGTAGAAGTCACGGCCGGAGATATCGGCCACACACTTTAAGCTGGGCGTCTTGAGCTGGATCGATTCGTGCTGTCTGTGGGGCCCGAAGCGCGGCAAAAATGCCTGCCGTGATCTGTTCACGACGCCCTGATGAGGCGGAACGTCCCGCTCGTTCGACAGCCCGCCTGGTTGCCCGCTCGCGAGCCCCTGGACTGGATGAGTGGCGGGAGCTGGTTGGCCCGCCCCCTCCCGACGAACGGCGGACGACTGAAGACGAACGACGGACGACGGAAGACTGACGGCGGACGACGGACGACGAGTGGCGGACGACGCGCGACAGGCTTCCTACGACAGACCACGGCGGCGGCGACGACGACGGGCCGCCCACTGCGGCTGGGAGCAGCCAGGTGGCGTGGGACGCCGCCGCCGCGGGGCCGCAGGCGAGCCCTCCGCGGCGGTTGGGGGAGGCGATGGGGGACGAGGGTGTCCGCAGATCGGTCGATGCGGCGGCTTCGCAGTCGGCTGCGTGGTGTCATCTCGCCCGTTCGGCGGATCGTGCCCGACGGAGTTCCAGCTACGGCCGCCTTTGGCATGGCGCCGCCTCGCGCAATTCGGCATAGCCCTCAGAGGGATCGTTCTTCATAAGGAGGCTCCAGATGCGGCTCCGGTGGGGTAGCCCGCACGGCGTCACTTCACCCAGTGCCGCACACCCCTCAAGCACGTCGTGACCCATGCGTGACTTCAACTGCTGCACCAATGGAGGAGGTCGCACGGCGTCACCTCGCCCAATTCGGCATAGCCCTCAGAGGAATCGTGCCCCGTAAGGAGCTCCACGCACGGCCCCAGTGGTGGCGAATGCATGGCGCCTCCTAGCCCAGTTCATCACACCCCTCAGACGGATCGTGCCCCATGGGGAGCTCCACATACGGCCTCGGTGGGGGCGTTTGCTTGGCGTCACCTCGCCCACTTCGGCACACCCCTCAAGCACCTGGTGCCTCGTGGGGGGCTCCACCTTCGGCCTCAGCGGGAGATCTCGCACAGCGTCCCTGCTTCACTTCGGCACACCCCTGTCGCACTTCGTGCCCCACAGGTTGTCCCAGATGCGGCCCCAGTGGAAGCCCTCTCCCTTCCGTGCTTTTCCCCGCTCCTTCACTCCGCGGCGCGCAGGATGTCAAGGGGTGTGGTCCCTCCCCTGGCTGCGTTGTGTTCCCGGGTGCGCTGCATGCAGGCACAGCTCGCTGTTGCTCCAGGCTGAGCTGGTGGAAACACAGTTTGGCGAGTCGCTCCCGCACCACCTGTGGTTCACTTTTTTCGCGTGGTATCTGCGCGTCCGGGATGCTTGCACAGCGCGTGCCTCGGTCCGTCGAGAGCCCCGAGCGGCCTAATCACATCAGCAGCAGTCCAGTTGCTGTTGCTCAGTGGGAAACCTCCTTGCCACCACGTAGGCTGCGCTATACCCCTGGTAGAGAATGCTGCCAGCCCTTCTTCGTCCTATTCCTCCTTCTCCTGTTGCTGCTGCTGCTCCTCATCCGCCTTCACTTCTTCCTACCACTCCCTTCAGTGGCAATTCGGGTTCAAGTATTGCATCGGGGGGGCTCCCCCTGAAGGTATTGGGGAGTAACGAATGCATCGCTCTGCCCAGGTCAGGCGCGGGTCGGATATCGAGAAGTCGACAGCCTGACGTTTGTGTGCGTGTGCGCGTGTGGAATATGCTCCACCTTCCAGTGGCTTTGCGGTCCATCGCATGTGGGACGGTTTTCGCACTAGTTTTCTGCACCCGCCACGCTGGGTGCGCGGCTACATCGACGGTAGAAGAGATGTTTGCAAAGGCAGAGGCCGAGAAGGAAGCCCGCCATGAGAAGCAGTTCTGGGAGCAGCTGCAGCGCCTGAAGGGTGTGGGTGCCGGGCCGCCAGGCGACGAGAGGCCTTCCCCACCGCTTCCGCCGCGGTCGAAGCAGATCCCAGTGAAGCGGGCTCGTGCCTTCATGCGGGAGGTTTGGGCGGCCCTGGCGCCCGCTGACGTGCGCGCACGACTGCGGGCGGCCAGGGCCAAGGGGGCGGAGGCCCCTGTGGAGGAAGACGCCGAGGAGGACGAGGATGACCAGGACGAGGGAGCCGCTGCGAGGGGCGCTATGATGATGGCCGTCGGCCCTGTTTTGGACGCAGCCACGCGGGGTGTCGTGCTGAAGTATAGCTTTGAGGGCGGCTTCCAGCAGGCGCTGGAGTCCGTCGCGGAGGCAGCGAGGCGCAGGGGCAACGAGGAGCTCCGGGCGGGTCTCCAGCTCGTGGCCGACCTGCTCGCGCCCCCCAGGCCCGGGCGCGCGCCTCAGTTGGGCCCGCTGGCAGCGCGCTTTCTGGCCGTGCCGGAGGCAGATCGGCGCAGTTCTCTCGGGTGTCGCAAAGGTTGTCGCTGGTCCAGGGTGTCTCCAGGGTTTCCTGGGAGGTCCAGATGGCCGCCAGAGCACCCTGCACGAGGCCCAGCAGGCCTCAGGGGCTCCAACGTGGAGCGAAAAGCTGGAAGCACCTTTGGCCAGGGACATCTTTAGCAACACCCGATTCTCTGGAGCAGGCCGAGAAGGTACTTGAGGCCGCAACGGCAGAGCGAGATGTCCTCCAAGTCTACGTTGATGCCATGAAGGGCGTCTTGGACCACGGGGAATCGCACGTCGCCAGCGCGGTCGTCGAGGCCGTGCAGTCCGTTCGAGTGCTCGAGGAGCGCGAACAGCGCAAGCTGACGGCCGACGAACGGGCCGCGTTCGACGCGCGCGTCGAGGTGCTCATGGAGTTCCTGGGTCCCCTGGAGCAGCGCGACGTCGAGGAGCTGGTCGCCGCGCGGCAGCCTGGGCACGCCGAGCTGTGACGCCGCGGCGGGTAGATCCCAGCGTGGCCTGTGGACGACTAGGGTCCTGCTGGAGACGCTGGCGCAGCGGCAGCCACCGAAACACTCCGTGGCGCAGATGGGTGAGGGCGAGGCTGGCTGCGCGTGCTCTTGCCCTCCTCCCCTTTCGCCGCCTTCATCCTCCGTCCCCTGCCACTCTCATTCCCTTTTGCTTCCTCCTCGTGCTTCTCGTCCTCTTGCTGCCCGCCGCGCGGCCGGTGCAGCCTACTCTATCCGTCTGCGCTGCCAGTCATGCCCGCCGTCGTGCCTGAGGAAGCTCAGCAGCAACGCCGGTAGCGTCGCCCAGCTGCAGTAGCGTTGCACGGTTGTTGCGGCGCCTCTTCGGCGCCTCTTGGGGGCCTCTTCTGGGGCCGCTCGGCACCCTGTCGGGGAGGCTTTGAGGATGTCTTTAGGGTTTCTGCGGTATCCTCGGGGAAGAGCTTTGAGGTCTTGGGGTCGTCTCCAAGGTAGTTCGGGCCCTGATGGGGTCTTAGGCCATATTGGGCCGTCCCGGGGCCGTCTTGAGGCAGCGGTCTCTGGGGGAGTCTTTGACCATGTTGGGGCTGTGGTGGGGCCTCTCTAGTGGGCCTTCTTGACAGCCAGGGCGCCGCCTGTGGCGGCTCGTAGGTCCACGACGGCCCCAAGACGGCCCAACCGGACCACAAGAAGGCTTCAAAACGGCTTCACTCGATTCTCAAGAGGGGCCCATTGGCAACGATGGAATCGTTCGGCGACGGTCAGTTTTTATATATATATATATATATACGCATGTGTGTATACACATGTGTGTATAGACGTGCATGTCTATAGATCTATGGGTTATCCAGCGTGGGCGTCATGTGTTATAGGCATGCTATGTGGTGCAATCTACCTTGTGCAATAACGTGGAACAACCTATGTGGTGCGATTAGTTTATGTTCGCAGTGAGTTGTCAACTCCACTTCTCGCGCAACCATCCCACCCACCCATCCGCAGCTTGGTTTGCATAAGCCCATGCTTCGGCGATTGCGATGAGTGCTTGGTGTTAGCTGGTGCATCCCTGCTGCCGCGCTAGCCCGCGTATGCCTGCGCGCGCAGCGGTCAGCTAGTTTGGCGCGACCGACGCGGCCCTGGTGGCGTTGACCGCTGAGCACTCCCCACCGGGTGCTTCAGTGCGAGTCGGCGATTTGGGCGGGCGCGGTATCATGGCCACGTCGACAACGGTAGACACGAGAATGGTAGTAGCGATGCTGGTGACGATGATGACAACGACCACGGCAGGGCCAGTGACGGCGCCGATGCTGATCACGCCGGCGACGATGACGGCGTATTCGCGTCGGTGATGAAGTTTTTGGAAGGAGTTTGACATGCGCGCGCGGCGGACGCGCGAGAGTGGCCCGCATGGTATTCTTTGACACGGATCGTGCCCCGCCCAGCCCGCGCGCAAAGGCGTTCGAATGATTTCGGCATGCGGCGCGAGAGGCCCGGTTGGTATAATTCGATGCGGATGTTGAACAGCTTGTGTTTTTGGTTGTAAAGGAAAATTAAAAACCAAAGCAAATAATTTACAAAAGCGCGAGCGCACTCGATTTTGAAATCTGGACGAAAGCCCAGGTTTTTGAAGGATGTCGGCGTGCGCGCGCGACGACGCGTGCGTGTGCATGTCGTCATTTTTTTGCGCGGGATTCTTGCGACAGCACGCTCGCAGGTGTGTTCGAAGGATTGTGACATGCGCGCGCGCGAGGGGCCCGTTTGGTGACATTTTTTGTTGGAAAGCAAAAATCGAAACGCAAGAGTGTAGGCGTAATTTGTTGTTCGAATTCGTGTTGCAATACCATGTGTTTTTAAACTTATTTTTTGGGGCACTCGATTTTGAAATCCTTGCAGCACCAACGTTTTTTGAAGGATTTTGGCATGCGCGCGCGACGGCGCGCGCGTGTGCACTTTTTTTTCTTTCCCCCCTCCCCCCCCCGCAAAGGGGTTCTAGATAAACGAGTGTGCGCGCACAATATTTTTTGCAGAGGATGTGGGGGGCGATGCTGGCCATCTTCGGATGGTATGAATTCAGTGTTAGGGCGGACGATGGGGGGCAATCATGTGTAAATTGCGCGAAGTTTAAATTTTGATGAGCATCGCAACACCGCGCCATTCGTATACAATTGCGCGGGCCTCGTGGCGGTTTCTTGGGGCCCTTTGGGCTTGTTGGAGGCCTGTGGGAGCTTCCTGGGGGCCCCCAGTAGCCTCTTTGGGGATCTCTTTGGGGCATTTTGGGGCCTCTTGGGGACGTCTTGGGCTGTCTTGGGGCCGTCTGGCCCCTTCGGAAGCCGCCTGGGGGGCCTCTCGGGACCGCCTTGGGCTCTCTTGGAGTCTTCGTGGGCCGTTTTTGGGGCCTCTTGGACCGTCTTGGCGGCCTCTTTGGGCAATCTTGGGGTCCGCTTGGACCGTCTCGAGGGCCTCTCGGAGGCCTCTGGGGCCGTCTTGGGACAATCTTTGAGGCTGCTTGGGCCGTCATGGCCCCCCAAGAGTTGAAAAAGGCGGGAACGCTAAAATCGTTCAAACACCTTTGGAATGTCATTGTTTCCC